TGGTACAATAAAACAAAGTTTTTAGATGTTTAATAATGTTTACCAATCTGGTACAATAAAACAAAGTTTTTAGATGTTTAATAATGTTTCCCAATCTGGTACAATAAAACAACGTTTTTAGATGTTTAATAATGTTTACCAATCTGGTACAATAAAACAACGTTTTTAGATGTTTAATAATGTTTCCCAATCTGGTACAATAAAACACGTTTTTAGATGTTTAATAATGTTTCCCAATCTGGTACAGTAAAACAAGTTTTTAGATGTTTAATAATGTTTACCAATCTGGTACAATAAAACACGTTTTTAGATGTTTAATAATGTTTCCCAATCTGGTACAGTAAAACAAGTTTTTATTTTTTTATTCCTTAGTTAACTCTTCTTCATCATCATTATTCAGGTTTTAAAATTTGGAGGTGGCTTGGTTCATCAGTAGAAATATTGTTGGTTTTCATTTTGGTTTGTTTTAGTACATGTGTGTGTGAAAATAGTCCTAGAAATTTGTAGATCAAATGACCTCTAAATTGTCCAGGTTGTCCTCCTAAATGAATACTTTTTAACGATGTGTGTCTCAGTTCAAGTGTAAAAGCTGTGTAATGAGTGATAATATGAACTAATTGTATCTTTGTCAAGTATAAGTACAGTTATAATAAATGACTACTGAGCAGGTGTGAAAAGGATTCTTCCTGTCGATACACCCGAAGGAAACCCGGAGCTGAAAGAGGGAGCCAAAGTTGCTGGAAATGGAAGCCTTCAGGATATAGACATGTCCCAGTTTCAAGGTAACTTGGCTAATGATTGTTTGAGGCAGAAGCTTCAGAACTGGGGGGGGGGGGGCTTGGGTTGCAGTAGCACCCCAACTTTTACATATTTTACCGATATAGCAACCGTAAATTATATTATTATGTTAATGTTTTGTGGGACATGCCCCCAGATCTCCTTATATTGAGCTGTTTTTAGCAGCTCCTTATACATTGTCTCTCACTGTAAAATCTGGATGTCTAGCTAAACACCCCCCACTTTGAAATTCCATCTTACACCACCAGTAGTAACAGCTTTTATTTTTGTGGTAAATTACAAACATTTTAATTTGTGAACCTCTGCACTAAACAACCCCATCGACACCGAGTTCTGTTTTTATAATCGTAAAACAATACTTACCATCAAACCATTCGTCTAGTAAAGCTGTAATCGTACTCAGAGTTGATGAATCTGTATTTAGACTTTAATATATTGTATACATCTGTATCATTTTAACGTGCATAAGTAGGGAGAAAGGTGTAATAACTAAACTGGCTTTTTGTATCTGTTCACGAAACACAATTCCTATGTACTCTGTTCTGGAATACGTTATCTAGTAATAGCTGGATAAGTCAAACTGTACGTGGGTAATACGTTATCTAGTAATAGCTGGATAAGTCAAACTGTACGTGGGTAACACGTTATCTAGTGTTAGCTGGATAAGTCAAACTGTAAGTGGGTAATAGGTTATCTAGTGTTAGCTGGATAAGTCAAACTATACGTTGGGTAACACGTTATCTAGTAATAGCTGGATAAATCAAACTAAGTGGGTAACACGTTATCTAGTAATAGCTGGATAAGTCAAACTGTACGTGGGTAATACGTTATCTAGTAATAGCTGGATAAGTCAAACTGTACGTGGGTAATACGTTATCTAGTAATAGCTGGATAAGTCAAACTGTACGTGGGTAATACGTTATCTAGTAATAGCTGGATAAGTCAAACTGTAAGTGGGTACTGTGTTTTAGTTTTGTATAGCTTGATACATTAACCTAATATTTCCACTTGAAAATGAAGTATATATCAAATTTAAAAAATAGTCATAAAACATTATTTTCAAGGTGTGTCCTAGTGGGTTATTGGTAAGTTTACAACTTGTAACACTAAAACTCAGGGTTTGATTCCTCCATTATGAACAGAGTACAGAAACTAATTATGGAGCTTTATTCTAAAACACTCAATCAATTTTGCAAAATATTATTATTTTTGGAACCTTAGAGTTTTGTGGTTTTTGTTTGGACAGCTATGATGGAGAATATGAAGTCCATTGATGCTGTAAAACAAGAACAGCTGGCGGACTTAGCTACTTCAATTAATACTGTTCTGGGAGAGGCCTGTCTTGGAACCTTTGGTCCATTTACCTCTACATTTACTAATCCAGGATCTTTGCCTACATCTCTCTCCAGAACAGACGCTCGTCCTTATAATCAAAATCTGGGTGAGTAAATAGTTTGTGCTTTCGTAGGAATTTCCATGTATTTTTTGTAAATTGAACTTCGTGTAAGCTTACGGCTAGCGTACACGCACGTCTAAGGAAGTAACTGACGGACGTTCGTCAGCCACTTAGATTTTTACTACTACTTAACTGTATGAAGAAGATAGTGAATCTTATATAATAATTGAAGTATTCAAAATAATGTTTTTGTTTTGGGTTCTGCAACCATCTGAAGACCTAAATATCGGATGAAGTTGGATTTGGCTAAAATGTTGTTTAACTGGTAGAGATGTTGCAAAACAATGTCATACTAGTTGAGATGTTGCAAAACAATGTTTTACTGGTTGAGATGTTGCAAAACAATGTTTTACTGGTTGAGATGTTGCAAAACAATGTTTTACTGGTTGAGATGTTGCAAAACAATGTTATACTGGTTTAGATGTTGCAAATCAATGTTTTACTGGTTGAGATGTTGCAAAACAATACCACTCTAGTTACAATGCTACAAAACAGTGCCACTATGGTTAAGATGTTGTAAAACAGTGCCACAATGATTGAGATGTTGCAAAACAACATCACAATAGTTAAAATATTTCAAAACAATGCCATACTGGTTAAAATGTTGCTAGTAATGCCATACTGGCTAAAATGTGTAACTTCCAAAACTTATTTTGAGCATTTAAATGGTGATGATAAACTCTTAAAAAGTAAATAAGAAATTAATGAATGTGTGAAATGTTTTATTACATGATTTAAAAAACACAAACTTGTATTCCATGTTATACACTACCTATCTTTTTTAATTTACAAGTCTCATCAAAAAGAAGTTTGCTAAGTTCACTTATTTCTGTGTTGTTAGTGTCTGACTGTCATCGGTTGGCAAGGGCTCAGCCACTCCTAAAGGACATTCACAGTCCAACAAGCACCTTTTCTTCCGAAAACAGTAATCTCTCGTATGGGTCACACTCCGAGGTAAGAATAGACCATATAAGTGTAGTAGATCCGGTTCCGTTGTACTCTATCAACCAGATAAACATTCTAAAATCAAATAACAACAGGTTACCAAGTTTGGTGTTGATCACACATTCTCTTTGGAGAATAGTCTTAGACACTTGTGATCAACGGAAGTAGTTTCTGAGTGGTTACTGAACAGTAGGTCGGTGCCTTATGCCCAATCATACTTCAAGGTTCAAGTAACTCTGTTGTTTCTATCCATTGTAAAAAGTGTCTTAAGTATGCACACTGTTCTCAACTAATTTTATACTTGAAATTTGGGTTTACACTTTAAACATTAAGTTTTTATTTCAAATATTTAAATACTATTTATCGAGAAGTAAATTCTTATATCAGTTTCTATTGAACAATAAGTTGAATTCTGCACATAGATACAATATGTAAATTATTAATTATAAACTAAACTCATTCTATTACTTCTTTTTTTGAGTATTAGAAATTCAATTTTTTTTTTCTGGTTTGAAAACATGGTGTCACAAAACACTCAGATCTACTTCAGATAAACATGTTTTTTTAAGAAGGTTTTTTAATTTGAAACGTGGATTAAAGCCTTGTAAAACAACTTGAAAATCCCAAAATCACAATCAACAGTGTTTAAAATATTGCTTGTGAAAATTTAGAATCTGATGTAGTTCACGATGCATGGTCATCATGAACTAAAAGTGGGTACATTGGTCACAAAGCAACCAACCATTATCATGCACAAGTTAAATATCAGCATATGGTTCAGTTTGTTTGGCTAATGCTACACATTGGGCACAACCTTTCTGGTGCCTGTGGTGAGCAGTCCACCATACAACGTTCTGTATTAGCTTCGTGTTTGCATTTCCCAAGGTTAATTTTTAGGGCATTTTAGTAATGTGTGTTTGTTTGTGTGTATGCGTATACACATTGCTGTGCAAACGTTTTAAACCATCCGTACATAGTGACATCGTACGGTCCTCGTTTCCTGATGGAATGAAATGTGGTGTGGAATTTTAAATTGTTGGCAATGAGATGTTATTGTGGTCTTGGGCTTGCAATCTTAACTTTAATGATAAAAAAATGTTGCTGACATTATAAGTTTCTCTCTTGTTGTATTAGTAAAATAATAATTGCTGAACATTTTTCTGTTCAGAATTACTATATATTAAAATGTTAAGAATTTCAACAGAGGACTGACTTATGATTCTATTTCAATATGAACAGAATTATAGCCAGCATGATATTCCTCACAAAACTGGATTTTATATGTGTGCAATCCAAGAAAAGGTTAAGAGATATAAAGAGACTGGTTCAATAGTAGACAGGAAAAGGTGTGGTCGACCCAAAAAACTCTGAACAAGATGAGCAGTATCTGAAGATTACTTCATTAAGAGACAGAAAATAGGAGTTAACACAAGAACTAGCAGAATCATTAGGAGTCCATTATTCCACTGTATGAAGATCCATCATCAGGGTCCATTATTCTACTGTATGAAGATCCATCATCAGGGGATCATTATTCCATTGTATGAAGATCCATCATCAGGGGATCATTATTCCACTGTATGAAGATCCATCGTCAGGGGTCCATTATTCCACTGTATGAAGATCCATCATCAAGGGTCCATTATTCCACTGTATGAAGATCCATCGTCAGGGGTCCATTATTCCACTGTATGAAGATCC